TGGGCAGCCTGGGCTGCTGTGAAACGTGGGGAGGTTGGCAGCAGGGTGGGGTTGGAGCTCCGTCAGCCTGGAGTCCCTTCCAAGCCCGGCCATTCTGTGATTGTGTGAAGCACAGGGGCTGGAAGGCAGCTCTGGAGCTGCCCCTGCTGAGACAGGTTCCGTGCGGTGGGGTCACGTGCTGATGGCTCTGCATGTCTGCAGAGGCGACCCGCACACCTGCCTGGGCTCTGCTCTGAGGCTCTCACAGCTCACTTCTTCCTCACGCCCACTGCTCAGCCATCTCTCCTCCAGGCCAGCGGCCCTGGGGCTCTCAGTCCGTCCCCACCAGGGCACCGTTGGCCATCCTGACCGCTGGGGCTCGTGGGCAAGCTGTAGTCAGCTGTTGGCCAGCTGTTGGCCAACCAGTCCACCGTCGGCCTCCAGTGCCACCAGGGCGCGCCGCTGGCTCGTGGTCGCCCCGTTGGCCAGCAGGGCCGCCGAAGCGCTCCGTGAATCCCTGCGGATCCCTACGGATCTGCGCGTCTGTGGCTCCGGGCTCCTCCACGAGCCGCCCGTCAAGCTGTAACGGCGCCGCTCAGCGCTGCGCCCGCCGGAGCCGCCCGTGGCGCGGCGCCGCTCTGCCCGCTCCCTCCACTTTCAGGTATTTCCTCTTCGCCCTCATCGTGAACCTGAGTCGCGACGCCTACGAGATCCGGCTGCTGATGGAGCGCGAGGCGAGCGGGAAGCGCGGCAGGGCGGCCGACGGCGGGCGGGGCGGCGCGGGGCCGCCGGGGCCGAGGCTGCAGGCGCAGCTGCGGCTCCTGCTGCGCGTCCTGCGGGGGAACCCGCCGCTGCTGCTGGACCTGGTGAAGAACGCCTGCGACCTCTTCATCCCGCTGGACAAGCTGGGGCTCTACCGGAGCGGCCCGGCCTTCGTGGGGCTGTGCGGCCTCGCCTCCTCCGTGCTCTCCATCCTCACCATCCTCCATCCTTGGCTCAAACTGAAGCCGTGAAGCCGCCGGACGGAGATTCGCGGCTGCGCCGGGGCGGCCTCGGCGGAGCCCTTCGGACGCTTCGAGTTCGTTGCAAGGACGGCGGAGCTGCGTTCGGCGGGCCGCGGGTCCGGCGCCGCTCCCCGCTTCCAAGGGGCAGAGGGGGCTGCGGGGCCCGGCGCGGCGGGGCGGAGCGGTGCCGGAGCTCTTGGAGCGGCTGCGCGCTGCTGGGCTCGGTTTCGGCCCACGTTTCCGCTGTCAGCTCCGCGCCGGGGGGCAGAACGCGGGGCGGAACGGCGCGGCGCCGCCATGGAACCGCGGTGCGGCTCCAGCACGGCTGGGGGGGGG